CACACACACACACACACACACACACACACACACACACACACACACACACACACACACACACGCACACACACACACTGTGTGTGTGTGTATGTGAGAGAGAGAGAGCGCGTGTGTATCGAGGGGTAGAAGGGGCATGGTAGTAGGAAGGCATAGCCAATGGCTGGTAGCCCACTGACCATCCACAGTCCGCAGGCCAATGGTCCTGCATTGGCCCATTAGCAGCGCCAGGTCTCCCAACACCTAGCCGATGGGACACTGGGACAGTAGGACACTGGCAGCCTTGGAACACTGGATGCCAGTGGCCATGGGACACTGGGATCCTGGGACACTAGGACACTGGCACACTGGGATACTGGGGCACTGGGATAGTGGAACCCTGGGACACTGGGACACTGAGACATGGGCACTGGGACACTGGGACACTGGGACAGTAGGACGGTGGGAAACTTGGATACTGGGATGCCAGTGGCCATGGGATGCCGGGAGACTTGGATGCCCCAGTGTCTGAAAAGCCATCCCAGCCCCTGCGGGATGGGGCCATTGGACAGTACCACTTGTGACCCTGAAATGCTACCGTAGCCAGAATTCAATTGACCCCATTAGCCTGCCGGTGCCAGTAGGTGCTGCTCAGACAGCAGCTGACAGCCTGAGGCTAGATTGGAACCTGTGACCCTAAGATAAGGACCAAAGTCCCATCCCTCTGTCATAGTCATCAGATGGAAGCAGCCAACGCAATTGCTTGGGGGGAAGAACTAGTCCACCTTCTAGGGAAGGGAAGATAAGAGGCTGGCTCCCCAAGTGTGCTATGTTCATGCTAGGAAAGACCGAACCTGGCCACTATTACGGGCAGGTTCATGGTTGGCATGCATGAATATAGCACCATTGGCCAGCTCATAAAATAGTCGGAGGGACAGTTCGTCCAGTCAGGAAAGGTTCTAATCCCCACATAACCACTGCACCCCTCTGTTTACCGCGAGGCAGTCCATAGCACTCCAGCTGGGACCAATGAGCCTGGTCCCTTCCACTGGCTCCTGGTCGAAGTGACCACTACACCAGGTGCGCTGACCACCAAGGGCCTGATTGAAAGCGAAGTTGCACAGTATATAGCCAAGGAGGGTTGAGTAGGGGAGGGGGG